CCCCAAAACCCCAAAACCCCAAAACCCCAAAACCCCAAAACCCCTAAGCAAGATATTTACATTTAAAATAATAAATTTAATGGAAAGTACTCGTCAGCATGAATTGACAATTTGAAAACATGAGACTGTCATCCATCAAATGACTATTTCCTTGTATGAAAGCTTAATGTTTCGAGAAAAAAGATATCACAAACTGCCCTATGTGTACTTTGACTATTCATCCATTGATAATGATGTAGTGCCTTATCCTCAGCACAAAAGGGATTTCAGTAAAATATTCTCCAAACTGGGAATCACGAGAGTTGACATAAAAATCAATGGCACCACTGAAAAGAAGTTTCTTCATAAAATCTATCAAAGAAACACAGATTGCTCATGGAAAAATTTGGATTATTTTAGCTACCAATATGCTGATCTGCAGAAATATCAAGAAATTCCTGTTTGGGTGCCTGGATCCGAGATAAAAATTCCAGCTAGAAGATTCTTCTTCCACTTGATTTCATGTACTCTTGATTGCATATCATTGGAAAGATTTATTCTGGATGGAAAAGTATTAACCTAAAACTATACAGTTAAGCACTCGAACTTTACGTTCATTTTCAATGAACAAATGTTATCTAAAATGAGATAACTTTGGAACTCTCTCTTGTAAAAACACATCTATCAGATCATTTTCACTGTCAGAATGCCTCTTCCAAACACATACTAATTTGAACACTCCTTCTGATTCAAAAACCTCACTAAAATCGCAGACTTCTGATTCATGAGGTATTTTAAAGGAGAATGACTATCCTTGAATGAAGATGCTTCTTTGCTTCTTGATCACAAACTTGTCAAATCTGTCAATAATTCAGTTAGCCAATATGCCTTCTATTCCAGTAGAGGTCTTCAAGAAGCTAGATCAAGTGTTGATAAGCGATTGGGAGATTAACCAGGAAAGTGGAGGCCTATATACAAGAATCCAGAACAAGAAAATATATTAATTGTCGACTTCAATCTCAGATATCTCTATGGGGTTTTGGGGTTTTGGGGTTTTGGGGTTTTGGGG